AAGTCCGAATGTGTTGCACCTCATGAAACAGGACCAAGAGAGCTCAAGAAATTATCTATTATTAGAAAATCACATTCAACGCTATTAATCACTGAGCTACCCGTGTGGGTTAAATCTATAGAACATGTCATATTTTTTTCTAATTTCAACTGAAAATTTATCACTATCTCTGTTGTCAATAAATATATGAACAAGCCAATCACCATTTAAACTTAGAAAAAAAAAATTACAGTAAAAAAAAAAAACATATATATAGATGAGAGAGAAAATAATTTTCTCAAAGCTTGAATACAAATACATGACTTTCAATTACAACATCACTTTTAAATCAATAATACCAATTTCATACAATACTATCACAACAAAAACTAGGTCCTCATTTGAAACAAATCTTTGTGATGACAAGTCTCCGGTGGGTTGTACGTCGAAAGTCACGTTTGGTGTGTTTTGTTCGGGGTGGTGATGTTGGTGAAGTTGGTGGTTTGGGTGTTGATGTTAGAGAAGTTGATAAAGTTGGTGGTTCGGGTGGTCGGTTACCCCCTAGAACCATGCTCTATATCATGTTATAAGTGAAGAAGAAAAAGAAGAATGGGGAAGATGGAGGAGAAAGAAACAAAGGATGAATGTTTTGAAATTTTCAAAATTAGTTTCAGACAACTTTCGGCATACCAAAACCGCCCATTACACGAAGAAGTGAGGTGAAGAGAATGGTGAAAGAATGAAGTAGAATCGTCAAGAATCGAGAAACATATGAAGTCCGAAAGATGGCTCTAAGAAAAGTCAAAAACGAGAAGAAAAGTCTTATTTTTTCATCAACTTTTGGAGCTTCGATAGCATGCAAAAAAGAGGAAGAACGAAACGTGTGAGATGTGATATGAAAACTAGACCGTGAGTTGAATCCAACGACGTAAAAATGAGATGAAACGGAGTTATGACGAAGGAGATAAAAGGGCTTGAAGTGGTGGTTGGTGGTGGTGGTTTGCTGGTAGGAAATGGTGAGTTTGCATCTTTATTTTGAAATTTGGGGCTAAAATGTAATTTTTTTTAATGTTTTCTATTTCAAATCTGACGGCAGGGGAAAAATTGATAGTAATTTAAATAGTATGGAGGTACGCGTTAAAATAAGAGTAGTCTAGGGGGGCCATTGAAATTTGTGACAAAGTATAGGAGTAAAAATGAAATAATCTCTTTCATAAATCACGTAAGTTATTTCACAAAAATACGTAAGTTTTCACAAAATGTATAAGTTTGTTCTCAAAAATTTAGAATAACACAAAATGCGTAAGTTTTCACAAATCACGTAAGTCATTTCACAAAAATGCGTAAGTAAACACAAAACCGCTTAAGTTTGTCTTCTAAAAATTTATAACAACACAAATATGCGTAAGTTTTCACAAATCACGGAAGTGATTTCAAAAAACTACGTAAGTGTTCACAAAAAAAAAAAAAAGTAAGTTTGTTCCCAAAAATTTAGAACACAAAATGCATAAGTTTTCACAAATCATGTAAATTGTTTCACAAAATTGTAAATTTTCACAAAATGCATAAGTTTGTTCCCAAAAATTTAGGACAACACCAAATGCATAAGTTTGTTCCCAAAAATTTAGAACAACACCAAATGCGTAAGTTTTCACAAATCACGTAAGTTATTTCACAAAAATGCGTAAGTTTTCATAAAATGCATTAGTTAGTTTCCAAAAATTTAGAACAACACAAAATGCGTAAGTTTTCACAAATCACATAAGTGCTTTCACAAAAATGTGTAAGTGAACACAAAAATGCGTAAGTTTATTCCCAAAAGGTTAATATTAATACAAAATGGGTAAGTTTCATAAACCACGTAAGTCATTTCACAAAAACGCCAAAGTTTGTTCCCAAAAATTTATAACAATGTAAAATGCGTAAATTTCACAAATCATGTAAGTCATTTTACAGAAATGCGTAAGTGAACACAAATATGAGTAAGTTTCGGGAATAAAACTTGAATTTTGCAAAAATGCGTAAGTTTTCACAAATCACGTAAGTAATTTCACAAAAATGCGTAAATTTTCATAAAAATTTGTAAGTTTGATCCCAAAAATTTAGAGCAACATAAAAATGCGTAAGTTTTCACGAACCACATAAGTGATTACACAAAACTAGGTAAGTGAACACAAATACGAGTAGGTCAATGGTGAAAACTTGAATTTCACAAAAATGTGTAAGTGAATACAAAATTCGCGTAAGTTTGTTACTAAAAATTTTGAACAAAATAAAAATACGCAACTTTTCACAATTGACGTAAGTTATTACCCAAACAATGCGTATGTAATTACAAACACGAGTAAGTCTTTGAAGGGCACTTTTATTTCACAAAATAGCGTAAGTTTTAATAACTGATGTAAATGATTTCCCAAAAAATATGTATGTGATCACAAATAAGAGTAAGTCGTTGGAGAACACTTTTATTTCTCACAAAATTGCCTGAGTTTTCACAACTTACATAAGTTGTGACACAAAACTCAGGGCAGTTAGCACAAAATGATGAGTAAGTTTGTTCTTAAAAATATTCAACAACACAAAAATGTGTAAATTTTCACAACTGATGTAAGTGATTTCTCAAAAAATGCGTAAGTGATCACAAACACAAGTACTTATAGAACACTTTTATTTCACAAAACCACGTAAGTTTTCACAACTTACGTAAATGATTTCTCAAAAAATGTGTAAGTGATCACAAAGGCGAGTAAGTTCTTGGAGAATACTTTTATTTTTAAGGAAATATCATTTTGCCCCCAAACTTTCACGTGTTTTTCAATTTGATCCCAACACTTTGATTAATATTAATTTTATACCCAAACTTTTAAAATTTTGATCAATTTGGCCCACGCTGTCACATTCCGTCTACAATTGGACGGAATGTGTTGACGTGGCACCAAAGTTCATTTAAACTTTCATTTTACTTCCCAAACTATACCTTAAAAATCAATTTGCTTCCTAAATTAAAATCAATTTACCCTGCAAACTATACCTTAAACATCAATTTGCCTCCTACGTCAACGCATTCCATCCAATTGTAGATAAAATGTGACGGTAGGGGCAAAATTGATCAAAATTTAGAAAGTTTGGATGTAAAATTGATATTAATCAAAATCTTATGGTCAAATTGAAAATACATGAAAGTTTGGGAAAGAAATGATATTTTCTCATTATTTCTCACAAAATTGAGTAAGTTTTCAGAAAATTACGTCAGTGTTCACAATTTACGCAAGTTGTGACACAAAACTCAAGGTAGTTAACACAGAATGACGAGTAAGTTTGTTCCTAAAAATATTCAACAACACAAAAATATGTAAATTTTCACAACTAACATAAGTGATTTCCGAAAAAATGCATAAGTGATCACAAACATGAGTAATTACTTAAAGAACATTTTTATTTCACAAAATTGTGCAAGTTTTCACAACTTATGTAAACGATTTCCCAAAAAATATGTAAGTGATCACAAATGCGAGTAAATCATTAGAGAGCACTTTTATTTCACAAAATTATGTAAGTGTTCACAACTTACATAAGTTGTGACACAAAACTAAAGATAGTTAACACAAAATGACGCGTAAGTTTTAATAACTGACGTAAATAATTTTTCAAAAAATACGTAAGTGATCACAAATATGAGTAAGTCATTAGAGAACACCGTTATTTCACAAAATTGCATAAGTTTTCACAAAGTCACGTAAGTTGTGTCACAAAATTCAGGATAGTTGACACAATATGACGCATAAGTTGTTCCTAAAAATTTTTAACAATACAAAATTACATAAGTTTTCATAGCTGACATAAGTGATTTCCCAAAAAATGTGTAAGTGATCACAAATATGAATATGTCCTTGGAGAACACTTCTATTTTACAAAAATGCGCAAGTTTTTACGACTGACGTAACTGATTTTTCAAAAAATACGTAAGTGATTACAAATACGAGTAAGTCCTTGGAGAACACTTTTATTTCACAAAATTGTGTAAGTCTTCACAACTTACCTAACTGATTTTCCAAAAAAATACATATGTGAACACTAATACGAGTAAATGTTTGGAGAACACTTTTATTTCACAAAATTACGTCTTCACGACTTACTTTAGTGATTTTCCAAACAATACATATGTGAGCACAAATACGAGTAAGTGTTTGCAAAAAAAATTTATTTCACAAAATTTACATAAGTTTTCACAAAGTCACACAAGTTGTGTCATAAAACTCAGGGTAGTTTACACAAAATGATGCGTATAAGTTTGTTCATCAAATTTTTGAACAACACAAAAATGCGTAACTTTTCACAATTTACGTACATGATATTCCAAAAAATACGTAAGTGATCACAAATACGAGTAAGTCTTTTGAGAACACTTTTAGTTCACAAAATTGCATAAATTACTTGGAATGTAAGGGGTTTGGGTAAAGCTGAAAAGAGAAAGAGGGTTAAATTACTCCTTAGGGAAAGGAAAATTGACTTTCTTTTTTTTTCAGGAGACAAAGAGAGCTGAGGTTTCACCAGATTTTGTTAAATCATTATGGCTTGAAGATGATATGGAATTCATGGTTGTTGAGGCTAAAGGTAGAGCTGGTGGGCTCTTATGCATTTGGAAACTAACTGTTTTCAAGTTATCCCAGTGTTGTAGCACAAGGCATTGCATTGTACTCTCAAGTACTCTTCTTCCGGATTTTAATTGTGTCCTTGTAAATATTCATGCTCCCAATGACGTTATTGAAAAAAGTAGATTCTGGTCTATGTTGTATGGATTGAAATCTAGTTTCTGTAATCCCTGATGTCTAGCTGGTGACTTTAATGAAATCAGAAATCTTGGGGAAAGAATGAGGTGTTCTCAAAGAGACAGAGGGATGAAAGAGTTCAATATGTTTATAGAAAATATGGAGGACATTGATTTACCCATGATGGGTAGGCAGTTCACTTGGTGTAATTCTGATGATGGAGAACGTTGAAGTCGAATTGACAGAGTACTTATGTCAACAGATTGGATAAGAAGGTTGCATCTAAAGTTATGGGGTTTAGATAGAAGTGTATCGGATCATTACCTCCTGTTACTAGTAAAGGATGGAAGGGATTGGGGCCCAAGGCCATTTCGTTTCATAAATGCTTGGACTCTACATCCAAAATTTGGGGAAGTTATGAAGAAATCTTGGGAAGATTATGCTATTACTGGTTGGGTAGGGTTTGTCATAATAAACAAATTGAAGGCTCTACGTTCAGTGTTGAAAAAATGGAATGTAGAGGTTTTTGGAAATGTTACTCATTCATTGAAAACAGCGGATGAGGAGCTTCATGCCATTGATCTAGTGGCTGAATCTAGAAATCTTGAGAGGAACGAGGCTGTTAGAAGAAGAGAGGTCAGAAAAGAAGTCTGGTCATTACGAAGGAGAGAGGAATGGTTATGGAGGCAGAAGTCCAGGGTAAATTGGAGTGTGAAAGGGGATAAAAACACGAGATTCTTTCATGTTGTAGCTACAAGTAGGCAAAATCGTAATCTGTTGAACTCGATTGAAGTTAATGGACAACTTTATGAGGATCCACAGATGGTGAAGCAGGATGTTGTTAACTATTTTAGAAGTCGGTTCTCTGAATAGTGGAAATCTAAACCCAAACTCCAAGGTTTCTTCAAGTCCATTGGTCATGATAATGTTTCTAATGGGCTAGTTGCACCTTTTTCAGAGGAGGAGATTTGGAGAGCTGTTAGAGAAAATGATGGTAACAAGGCTCTAGGACCTGATGGATTCAATATGTCTTGCTTTTAGAAATGTTGGTTAGTGTTTAAACAGGATATTTTGCAATTCTTCAAGGACTTCTATGATAACGGGTGCTTAGCTAAAGGGATCAATAGTTCTTTCATAATATTAATACCTAAGAAGAATAGCCCTAGTGGTATTTCTGACTATAGACCAATTAGCATTGTTAGATCTCTATGTAAAGTGTTGTCTAAGGTGTTAGCCTCTAGACTTAAGAAGGTTTTTCCTAAAATAATTGGTGAGTCGCAGTCCGCGTTTATTGGTGGAAGAAACATCCTAGATGGGGTTTTAGTTTCCAATGAAGTAGTGGATTAATGGAAGAGAAAAAAGAAGAAGGGCGTCATATTGAAATTGGATTTTGAAAAAGCATATGATACCATTAATTGGAAGTATCTTTTTGCTATGATGTCAAGCTTTGGCTTTCAGGAGAAGTGAATTAGGTGGATGAAGGCATGTATACAATCAGCTCGGATTTCAGTTCTTGTTAATGGTTCTCCGACGTCTGAGTTTTGCCCAGAAAAAGGACTTAGACAAGGGGATCCGTTGTCTCCCTTTCTATTCAATTTAGTGGCTGAGGGTTTGAATTTGTTATTCCAAAGAGCTGAAGCATTGGGGTTTATCAAAGGTGCTGTGATTGAACTGAGGGAGGTCACTGTCACCCATTTGCAATTTGTGAATGATACTATTGTGTTTTGTGAGGTTGAAGAGCATGACATTTTGAATGTCAAGAGAATTTTGAGGTGTTTTGAAGTGATTTCTAGTTTGAGGATTAATTTTCATAAAAACAAAGTCTGTGGTGTAGGGGTACAAGAGGATATTGTAAATGATTTCGCAGGAAAATTGAATTGTATGGCTAGAAGCTGCCCTTTATGTATCTTGGCCTACCACTGGGTGCTAACCTAAAGAAGAGGAGCACATGGTTGCCTGTGATCAATAAATTTAAGTCTAAGCTAGCTTTTTGGAAGAGGAAACTGCTCTTATTTGGAGGTAGATTAACTCTGATCAAAGTAGTGCTGTCTTCTTTACTAGTGTATTACCTTTCTCTGTTTAGGATGCCTGTTAGTGTAGCAAAGTTGCTGGATAAAATTCAGGCCAGATTTTTGTGGGGAGGTTCAAAAGTTAAGAAGAAACTCCATCTGGTGAAATGGGTGGAGGTTACTAAGGAAAAGCATCTTGGAGGTTTGGGGATTAAAAAGTTGAAAGATGTCAATGAATGTTTATTAGCTAAATGGTGGTGGAGATGGTAGGGATGATCAGGTGTTGTGGAAAGATACTTTGATCTCTAAATATGGTTGTTTGGGTGGGAGGTGGAGACCTTTCTTTATTAGCAGTGCCCAATGTTCAAGAGTCTGGTGTGATATTCTCAGTTTGGAGCACAACAGTCCTAATCTTTTTTGTTTATTTATGGATAATTCTTTCATTAAAGTAGGGAATGGGATGCGAATTAGATTTTGGGAGGATTTTTGGGCTGCCAACAGATGTTTAAAGGAGGAATTTCATAGATTATTTGAGTTATCTGTCGAAAAAGAGGTTACTCTTCAACAGATGCTGGGAAAAAGAAGCTGCTCATCTTATGGAATCTGAGCTTTAAAAGAAGTCTGAGAGTTTGGGAGGAAGATGAAGTCGTACGATTACAATCCTTGTTGCTTTCACAGGATCCATCTTTATCAGAGGTTGCTGATTCATTGGCTTGGAAGGCATCACCTTCAGGTATGTTCACTATTAGTTCACTTTATAATCGAAGTAGTGTGGGGCAGGGTATGGGGACTTCAAGGATGATTTGGCATAATATTTCTCCACCAAAAGTTTAATTTTTTGGTTGGCTCGCTTGGAAGGGTAGAATCAAATCTAGAGCTCTCCTCTAACGGGTAGGGTGTCTTAGTCTTGAGGCTAAGACAAAACGTGTGTTTTGCAGCTGTGAATTAGAATTAGGGTGTCATGTTCTGTTACAGTGCCCTTTTGCTTGGAGAATCTGGACTCATTCACTGAATTAGTGAGGGTTGCAGTGGGTGAGCCCGGGAAAGCCGCAAAGGGTATTGGATTGGTGAAGAGGGTACAAATGGAGGAAGGCTGAACATAAAATCTGGGAGACAATTCCCTTGATAGTCCTATGGTCTGTGTGGAAGCTGCACAATGAGTGTATTTTTAATGGGAAACAACCTTTGTTAGAGGAGGTTTGTGAACTGATTAAAACTAGAGTTGCCTTGTGGATGATATCTACTTCTAGTGAGTATAAGTACTCTATTCATGATGTGGTGGCCAATGTGGATCAGGTAGGATATGCATTACGGTGAGGTTGAATGGGCCACTTTGGAACTGGTTTTGTTTACTTAATGCAGCCTTGTTTTGTGATTGGTTGTTGTGGTTGTGTGTAGTAGTTGTGGATCTGTTCTGTGGACTGGGTTTGCTTAGGGGCTGCTGTAGGATTTCTGTGGCCTACATACTGCTGCTAATGTCATATAAGGGCTCAGGTTGCTGCTTGACTGCTGTTGATGCTACTGCTAGTTACTACTGCTAGTGGCTACTGTTGTGTAAGGTTGTATGGCTTAGGGGACCTGCTAGTGTATGATATTGTGTGAAATCACTGGTTTGGTGCTGCTGCAGAGCTGGTGTTTGTTGCTGCTCTCTTGCTATTCAGCTGGTTTGTGTTGATGCAGCTGGTGGTGTTTGTTGTTCTGTTTTGTTTTCTCTCTGTCTTTTGTTTCCTTTTGATTGGTCTTTCACCAATTTTAGGTCTAGTGCGAGCATATGATTGTGCTTTCTTAGCAGCGCCAACCTAGTTAGGATTGCTAAGGTTAGCTATGATGCTCTTCGCACTTCCCTCTTTGTTGATGTAAGTTTTTGCATGTCTTTTGTTTCCTTCATCAATAAGTTTCGTTTTGCTGATCAAAAAAAAGTCATGTAAGTTGTGTCACAAAACTCATAGTGGTTAATAAAAAATTACGCGTGAGTTTGTTCCTACAATTTGTCAACAACACAAAAATACCTAAGTTTTTACAACTAACGTAACTGATTTATCAAAAAATGCGTAAGTGATCACAAATACGAGTAAGTCCTTGGAGAACACTTTTATTTCGCAAAGGCTTGTTGTGGGAACTTGGCTAAAAGCTAGTTTTTTAGTTTTTTTTTTGTGTCACATCACCTCTTTACTTTTTTACACGTTTTTTTCAAAAAAACAGAAGCTAAAAAACCCCCAAAAACCGGCTTTAACCTACTTCACGTCACCATCCAAAATTGCATAAGCCTTTATAACTTACGTAAGTGATTTTCTAAAAAATACGTAAATGATCACAAATATGAGTAAGTCTCTGCATAATACTTTTCTTTCGCAAAATTACATATGTTTTCAGAAAGTCACATAAGCAGTGTCACAAAACCTAAGATAGTAAACACAAATACAAATAAGTGGTTGGAGAAAACGTTGATTTCACAAAAATACTTAAATTCTCACAACTCACGTAAGTGATTTCACAAAAATGCATAAGTTAACACAAAATTCACATAAGTTTGCTCATAAAAATTTGAAGCGACACAAAAATACATAAGTTTTCAAAACTCACATAAGTGATTTCACGAAAATGCGTAAGTGAAAACAAATACGAGTAAGTTATTGGAAAAAATTTTGATTTCACAAAAATGCGTAAGTTTTCACAATTCACATAAGAGATTTCGCAAAAATATGTAAGTTAGCATAAAGTTGGCATAAGTTTGTTTCCAAAAATTTAGAACAACACAAAAATACGTAAGTTTTCACAAATCACGTAAGTAACTTCGCAAAAATGCGTAAGTGAACACAAATATGAATAAGTTGTTGGAGAAAACTTTGATTTCACAAAAATGTGTAAATTTTCACAATTCACGTAAGTGATTTCAAAAAAATATGTAAGTTGTAGACACTCCATTTTGACCGGCTCTAAGACTTGGGCGCTTTCTTTTGATTACCTTATAATGACAAAATAAAAAGGTGTTTCTCACAGAATCCTCAATAAGAAAACTTAGAATTTGAGCCCTGTTTCCAACCCTAAACAACCACAAATTACCTTTCCAAGGGAATATTCTGACCTCATGGTTGCGTCTAGAATGGTTTGTTTAGCTAAGATTAACCTTCGCTGCACTTCCGAAGGCCTCACTGAAAAAATTTTCCCGAAATCTAGGTTACACGACAATTATTTGAAACTTCTGGGCCAAATTATAATTTTCAAAACTTAGGAAATATTCTGTTATGTAAGGGAACATTCTGTTAAGTCATGGAATATTCCGTCCATATGCAGAATGTTCCGTCAATGCTGACTGTGATGCTGACATGGCGGTGTTGCTGACATGGCATGACTGGATTGGTCTTTGCTGATGACGTAGCGTTGACTTGTCTTTACCCAAAAAAATGAATTTAAGGAATGTTGGTAAAGGGAGGGGTTTAAACCCCCAACCTAAGACTCCACACCCAACACCTTAACCACTCTGCTAAAGTTTTGGCTTGTGTTATATTTCCCCTCAAATAATATTTGACCATTTCAAACCAGCAGGCAAAGAAGGTGTATTTTTTGTAATTTTTTCTTGTGTGTGGGACACTCCCCTACCCCTTTGGCCGACCCATATATCACCAAATACATACCTAATCATCCCCCATTGTCCAAAAGAGGTTTTGTTTGCATCCATAAAGGAGTATCCCATGCAACCACCTTGAAAATTTGTCCTCTCATCACATTCTTGTCCCCTACCTTGTCTCCCACCTTCTTTTTGACCTTCACTCTCCCTTATTGTCTATGTAGAATGATCATATTTTAAGAGAGGGGGAGGACCACAAAATTAAAGAGAAAAGAGTGAGAAAAGGTTGAAAAAAGAGACAAAATTTGAGTTTTTAAGCCAAAGACAATCCTATCTTCCATATACACCCCATACCTTCCAAAGAAACTGAAATTCCATCTTTCCTACACCCAAAACTCCTCCAAAAATTCTGAAATAACTAAATTTCAATAGTGATTGATCAAAGGAAAGAATGAGTGTTGTTGAGAGTGAATGTTGTTGAAAGTGAAAAAAAAAAGAAGAGAGTTAGCCACTTTTCCACCATACATATCTAGAGTTCCATTCTAGTTTCAATTTGAGGATTGAGAACACACTTTCTGAACTTGAGGGTGATCAAGAGGAATTTTGAAAATCAAGAAGTTCAATCTTTCTTTGGAAGGTGAATTTCTAGTCTTTCATTTTCTTATATTTTCCACCTCATATTTATTTTATTGCTTCTTATTTCATAGTGTTTTGTTATCATCCAAGTGGATTGTTTATTTTATATTTATTTTCTTACTTTATATTTCATA